ACATTTGGACCAGGTCCAATCCAATCCAATGAATAATTTGGACCTTTTTTGGACCGGTCCAATTCAATGTTCGGACCGTCTAATTTGTTCAATTTCATTTTAATTTAGATTGGTTTCAACCCAAAATCGGTCTATTGGCACCTATATTCTTATCTTATGTCAATGGACTAGATATTGGCTTAATCCAACTAAATCCAATATAAATTTATTACAAAAGGACTAGGTCCAGTCCAGTCTAATAAATATTTTGGACCGGATTGGTCCAATCCACTATGTCTTTTTGGTCCGTCCAATCCGTCCAAATTGATTTTAGATTGGACGGGGTCCAGTCCAAACCGGTCCATTGACACCCTTATATGGAGGGATATCCAAGATGAACTCCATTAGAGTCCTCTCATTGGCAACTAATTTTGAGTGAGATCTTCACCAGTTGGATATCAATTAGGCTTGTCAATGATACTCAAAAATCTGTGGCCCGATCCGATTTTGTCGGATTTAGATGATGTGTTTATGTAATTGGATCGAATTCAGGTTTTGCAATCTCTATCTGATTAATAATCGAATCGAATTTGGATTTGACTCTATCTGATCTGATTAAAATTTGAATACGATTATATTATAGTTTTTATTGATTTTAATATATAAATTTTATATAATTATATCTAAAATTATAAAAAGATATTTTTATATATTGCATTATATTATATATGTGTTTATATATAATAAATTCAGTATGTTATATTTACATTAATTTATTATATATAAAAGTTGAAAAGTAATCAACTTTTTTATTTCTTTTGCATTTAAAAAATTAAAGCGGAGTCGGATTAAATCCTATTTTGATCCGAGTCCATTGGGGATCGAATTGGAATATGAGGTCTTCAAATCTGATCAGATTTGGATGCAAGTTTTCAATAATAGATTGGATTTAGGTTTTGCTAAATCTGATCTGAATTTAATTTGATTACAACACTTTCAAGAATGCCTTTTTGATTAGTGATCTAGAAGAATAGGTGTATCTGGTTCAACCTCTTGGTTTCTGTGCCAAAGGTAGTGAACAGAAAGTGTGCAAATTAAGGAAATGCTTATATGGCCTAAAAGAATCACCAAAGGCTTGGCTTAGTAAGTTCCATCTAGCTTTGTAGCAAATCGACTTTAAGCAATGCCAATCCGACCATATGCTGTTTGTGAAGAGGGTAGAAATTAAAATTGTAGCCTTGATAGTTGTATGTTGATGACATGGTAGTCATTGAAGATTGTGTAAGTGAGATTCAAAAGCTAAAGGAATTCTTAGCCACTTATTTTGAGGTGAAAGATATAAGTCTCTTAAGGTATTTCCTTGTAATTGAAGTTGCTCGCCCACAAAAAGGGATTTTCATTTTTTGAAGGAAAAGATGTGAAATAGTTTAGGGACTTGTTGGAAGACTTCTTTATCAATTTATGACCAGACCTAGCATTGTGTATGCTTTGAGTGTCCTTAGTCAATTTATGTATGCCCCTAAGGCCACTCACATGGAGGCTGCCAAATGGATTCTCAAGTCTCTTAAGAAGTTTTTACGGGTGCTGATAAAATAAAAGAAGTGGGCTGGTTTGTTATTCTAGAAGCATGGGCATTTGAAGGTGGAAGTGTATATAGGTGGTGATTGGGCTGGGTTTGTAGATGACAAGGAATCGACTAGTGGGTATTATTGCACCTTTGTGGGAGGAAACTTAGTCACGTGGAGAAGTAAGAAGTAAAGTGTGGTGGCTAGGACCAATGATTTAAAAGGTACGTGCGCAGGTGAGGCGCATTTTAGGGTAGGTGCCTCACCTAGGTCCTAGGCGTAGACTTTTAAAAGGCGCACACCTAGTGCGCCTTAGCCCAGGCTGCGCCTTTTGAAAATGTTACGTTTTTTTGCTTTTTTTTATGAATCTAGCGGCTGCGCATGGTTTAAAATGTCCCTAATATTTCCACGACATATTTCCATTTCCATGGGTAGTGACACGAAATTTTACTGGATTCGATATTTCCCCAATCAACATTATCAGCACTATGTGGAGTACAAGAGATAGTTTCCACGACATATTTCCATTTCCACTTCAATGGGTAGCAACATGAAATTTTTCTAGAATTGACATATTCCCCGGTGAACATTACCAATATTATGTGGAGTCCAAGAGATAGTATTATAACATAAGTTGGGGACAATATCATAGTTATGTATACTAACAATGTTATTATCCGCATAACTTACTTGATTACCACTTTGGGCTAGCTCAATATTCATTTCAATTAAGAAGTTAAATATTGGTTTTGTGTAATAGATTATTTGGTTGATCTATTACAACTATTTACATTTTTTGAGTTGAAAATTTTCTTTAACTCATTCTATCATGAACCTCTAAATTTTCTTTTGTCTATAACCTTAGTTTCTTAGCTTTGTTTAATGATTTGAAACAAGATAATAATTTAAAAAGGTGTGCCTATGCTTCTTTTATCATTTCATAAAATATCATTCTATATTTTGCATATTTTACAATGTTTCCACCATGTCTATAATTTTTACAATATTTCCATACGATATTTCGGACATTTCCAACATGTTTCTCATATTTGGATGACCGACATTTCCACCAGCATCGACATTTTAAACCTTCTGGGCTGGGGGCTCTGCCCCTGGACCCCTGTGCCATGCCCCTCAAGGCAAGCCCAAACAAGTCCATGTTAGGGTCTTAAATTCTTAGTTCTCACACAAAAATAATGAATTTATAATTTTAATTGCTTTTTAAGAAGATATTTTAGTAGGATGAATGAATGAACAACATTAACAAATAGGGGTGATGGTTATTCTGTTTTCAATTTATGTCGCCACACAATCCTTCACTTTGGCTTCTGTCTACTGAACCTTAATCTAAGGGGTAATGACTGCTAACAGCTGTCAAATTACAAGTCCTTTGAACACACAAAAAAAGATTTCCCAACATTGAGTTTTGTTGATAAATTGCAACTTCAAAAGTAATCCATGTATGTCTCCATTGGTCAGTGGATGAACTATGTGTTTCCAAGAGGAGGCTCCATGGTATTGGTGCATGCTGTTTGTTGACAAAACATTTCAGTTATGAGATAGACTTAATGGGGCAACTTGGGTTGGTTGGGTTTTGCATTTGTTTAGTTTTGAATGGGCCTGGACCCTAACCCGAGCCTGATGTAGTTGTACTATTGAATTTCTTCAATTGGGGCCACCTAACTTGCACAACTGATTAGATGGGGTTAAAACAAAGAATTTTGAAGAGATGTTTTAGAATTGAAAGTTGCATGATTGGCAATTTGTCAGGACTAGTGGAAAACATGTAGTTAAGATTTAGCAATAACAGTAACAACTTAACAAGGGTGGGAATAAGGATACATAGCAAGAGAATTTTCACTGATTATTTAAGATTGGAAGCTATAGGCTATTACTTGGTGTAGTGGTAAAATCTCAGGCTGGCAAGCATTAAATGCAGGTTTGAGTCCTAGAGCAGCTAAGAAGCCACTGTGTGCAAAAAAGTGTAATAAGTTTGGGACCATATCCAGCTTACCCCTCCCAAGACCCCAGATGGCTGAGAACAACATCGAGTATTGGCTTTTTTTTTTTGAATTTAAGATTGACAGCCAATAGATTTTTTCAGATGCCAACTTCCATAGGGAGAAACTGGAGAAGATATTGCTTGTATGCAATGGTGTGTCTGAATGCTGAAGTACTGTGTGTTCAGAGCATATTAATACAATTTAATAAGTTGTGTAAGATGATGTGACTCTCAAGTCAACTCAACTCAGCATTAATCTCAACCATTGGGCTTCAGCTTCACAAATCCTATTCTGCCATTGTGCTTTATTAAGAGCTGTGTTTTCTGTCAAATTGCAAGCTCTCAGATCATTTATTATCACTTCAGCCCATGTTTTCTTTGGTTTCTTTTGCTCTTTAGAGCCTTTTTGAACCAAGTGGCTCCTCACTGATGAAACCATTAGTGTGTCTGGGATATTTTGTTTTTAGTGCGGCATACAAGTTTATTTTTTTGCTAACTTCAGCATGGGGCATCATCAAGATGTCACAAGAGGTGGTCGCCAAGTGCCAAGTGTTGGCACGACTAACCATTTAGTTCCAAACTTTCAATGAGTCCTGGTGACATGGTCATACAATGCTAGTTGCAGGTTCTAGAAGAGCAACAGGAGGCTTAACAGATGATGCCTTCATTGTCTTTGGGGAATGACCTGATGAATATGGTGGGAAAGGTATAATCATCATTGGATCAACCTTGTCCCAAACATATGGGAGAGTCTTTTCTAGGCAGTGCTGTAATGTTTGATGTTTATTGGATCAACCTTTTCTAATAAGGGTTGAATTCTGTATTTCAGGTTAATTTATCTCTAATGAAAAGTTATCGTTTCTGATAAAAAAAAAGGTATAATCATCATTATCTAACCCTTGTCCCAAACATATGGGGTTGGCTACATGAGTTCTGTTTCTCCATTCCCTTCAGTTTAGTGCCTTATCCATTGCTATGATAAACTTATTATAAATAGTTGTAATCTTTTTGTGTGTTAAATGCACCTTTGATCTCTTTCTCTGCTTATACTGTTTAATGATCCTTCAGTTTATAAAAAAGTAACTATCTATTCAAGCTAAGACTGTAACTAATATCACCTAATTCTTTTTAAATTAATTTCTGTTGTTACTTTGGCTTGGCTACATGAGTTCTGTTTCTCCATTCCCTTCAGTTTAGTGCCTTATTTATTGCTATGATGAACTTATTATAAATAGTTGTAATCTTTTTGTGTGTTAAATACACCTTCGATCTCTTTCTCTGCTTATACTGTTTAATGATCCTTCAGTTTATATAAAAGTAACTATCTATTCAAGCTAAAACTGTAACTAATATCACCTAATTCTTTTTAAATTAATTTCTGTTGTTACTTTGGCTATGCTGCTGATTGAAATTAAAATTTGGATGTTTAACTGCTGTAACAATCAATTCTACAGATTTTCAACCTCCTGTTGCACCATCTGGTCATGAGATGCTTAATTATTTGCCACGAGATGAAGATCGTGGTGGGACCCGGGTTTTGAAAGACACAAAGACCCTTGGATCAGCATATGATCGTTATCTGCAGAGTGCGGTATCTTATTCTACTTTATTGAGCCTTATGGTGGTTTTGGGTGTTATATATGAGTAAATACTAAATGTTCATCTTTTGCAGCAACTTTCTTCGTTTGGTTCTGGAGAAGCTAGTAATTTTGGTGGTGGAACTGGATTTGGGAGGGGGGTTGGTGGAGGAATGCCAAATCTTCCAGTTGGAGAGCCTACAATGGTTGGTGGGCGTTCAACTGTTGCTCCTGATCTGGCACCAAATGGTCGAGGAATGGGTTATGGTGGTCAGCTCCCTGTGGACTCAATGGCCAGGCCAGGCCGTGAAGTGCAACCTCTCCCACCAGATGCTTCCAACACTCTATTTGTTGAGGGACTCCCTCTAGACAGCACACATCGTGAAGTAGCTCGTATCCTTGAAAGTTGTAATCAGGCAGTTTTTTTAGCATGTGCCTTTGTGTCTTCAGCTTTCTACTCTATTTTGGAAACATGGTTTAGCTAGCTTATTATTAATCCTTTACCACATTACAAGATATATTTCGTCCCTTCTTGGGGTACAAAGAAGTAAGGCTTGTGAACAAAGAGCCTAAACATGTAAGTAGGTATTTATTGGTGTAACTTATTTGTAATGTTCATGCACATTAGGATTTTGGATGGTATGTAGGTCATACTTGATTTTTTTTATTTGTTGTTTCCCTTGTTTGTCATTGTTTGTGACTGACTTTGTTCTGTAAACTATATTCTTATCCATAATGCAGCGTGGTGGCGACCCTCTTATCCTCTGTTTTGTGGATTTTACAACTCCAGCCTGTGCTGCAACTGCTTTGAATGCCTTGCAAGGTGATGTGATCTCTCTCTTAACTATTTTTAACTATAGTGGTAGTTTTCTCTAGGTGCTTTAGGAATTGTAGTTGTGCTTAAACTGTCTGGGAGATATGTTTGTACTGATTATTGATACCGTCTTCACATTATCCAATCCATTATATACCACCGTATGGTGATGGAGAACATACTGTGTTTGTGCACATGAAGGGTTGTGTTTTTTGTGGAGTGAAGAGGAGTTGGAACTAGCATTTAGCTGTTGGGAAAGCATTTCCTCTTTTTTTTTTTTTTTCTTTTTCTTATCATCTTCATCATGCAAAGAATCTAATAGAATGGATACTTGATAGGGGATGATTCTGAATCAGTCAATATCTGGTGGCTTAAGCAATCTCATCAATCACATCCATGCGAATTGTAGATTTGGAAATTTAGCACGTCTCCCAGAATGGGAACTTTGAATTACCTATAGGAGTTTCATGGGATTCTGACTTGGCCTAAGATTCTATTTACAGGTTATAAGATGGACGAACATGATCCTGATTCTTCTATCTTGCGGTTGCAATTTGCTCGGTTTCCAGGTCCAAGATCGGGCCCTGGGCCTCGTGGTAGGAGGTAAATCAAGCTTGAGGTGGAAACATTCTGGTTTCATGCATTCTCAGAGTATCTGGTGCAGATTCCATTTATATATTTCTAGTCCATGCAGAGCACTTTTTTGATTATATGTAGTTTACCAGAAATACTGGATTGAGGTTGCTGAATGCTAAAGAAGATGTAATTGATTGAATTAAAGTGGTGGCCAAGTTAAGAATTTTCATGATTTTTGACATACAATCTAACATAGTCTTCACATCAAATGGTCTTCCTATGGACTGCAGATAATTGGTAACTTTTTTCTCAAACACCCTTTGTGGGGCTCTAGATTAGTATGTCTTCTAAGTTTTTAACCATGTAAACTTGAGTTTCAATGGTGCGTTTATCCCAGGAAATTAAGCTAAGTTATGCTCGGTGATTTACTTTATGATTAGCATAGAATTAATTATGTATGGTTTGAGTTATTACTCAATCTTGATCCTTTTCAGATTGGTGCAAGAAGATGCGTAGTGGTTATGCTTTACAAGGGGAAGAAATATCATCCACCATCCAGTGATCAAACTTGTATAGCTGAAGGCAATGAGCCTGGTCAGGTTAGAGAAAATCCAAATTCTGGATGAGAATGCTTCCAACCTAAGTGTGTTATTTCGATCACGGGCCTAAGTGTCTTGAAAGTTGGATTGCAACGGTCGCTGGTCTGGGTTATGAAGTTTATTGGTATCTGCAAGAGTGCTTACTTGTTATCCAGTTTAAAATGAATTACATCTTTTGATACAAAAACTCAGGATAAGAGATTTATCATAAAAACCCAAGGCCAGAGATTGCTTCTAAATATAATACTACCACATAGTTGCATCATTATATGCATTTGTTCCCAAAGCTCAGTTTGGTGGGAGTACAAATACAAATATGTACAGTACGAAACCTTGTATGATATGTTTCCAAACCTTAGTTTTATACTTTACATATTTGTACTATTTCCAAACTAAGCCCAAGACTTAGTTTGGGAAGAGTGCAGATAGAAATATGTTCAGTGTAAAACCTTGTGTACAGTATTTTTAAACCTGTATTTGTACTGTACATATTTGCATTTTTTCGCCTTCCAAATAGAGCTCAAGGTATACAATATAACAAATGCATGGCGTATTTTATTGGCAACAAAATGAATAGCATGTGGCACGGGTCGAATGCTCTCTATGCCATTGGATATTAATGGACCTATGGTGGGAATCATGACCGCCACTAAGCTTCTGGCCGTAGGCATAGTTTTATCATTTATGGCAGCAGCCATGACTGCCGTAAAAAAGTTGGGCACCCAAGTTTCACCTTTATTCTTTATCGGTCTCTATAGTCTGTCTTGACAATTTTTACCATTGATATATATGGATTTTCTCAAAAAAAGGAAAAATCCAAAATTTATAATATATATATATATATATATATATATATTAAGTTTTAAATAATTTTCACTTTAGAAAATTGGATCTATCAATGGTTTATTAAACACATTGATCTAATAATAATTATGGCAAAAATGATTATTTTTTAATTTTTTAGGAAAAATAAAAAATCAGAAAAATAATTTATTTTATACATTTGGAAGATTTTCATAGCAACGAGGAACTATAAGATGGATCTGCTAATGACTTGTTAAACTTATTGATCTAACAACAATTTAATGTGGCTTGTAATGAAATTTTAGTAGATTATAAGCTCAAACATTGTCTGATGCTATTATTAATAATGTTATTATATGATGTCTCCATGTTCCATAATTCTGGTATTGTTGACTGTAATGTGTTTCTTCATATAAAGAATTAGCATGCATTTTTATGCATTTGTACCTCATTCATAGTTATTTCAACTTAGATTTGGTGTAACTGATGTATTTGCGGGATTTATAAAAGTTTCCCTAATGAATCCAAGTGTATGCATATTTTTTTACCATATATATCCAATGCATATCCATGTTGCTACAATACATGATAATATCAAGCCTTGCATTCCAACACAAATCTTAGTGCAATGGTTAAAAGTAAAATTAAAAGCTAATGCTTAGTTTGTTTGTAGTACAAATGAAAAATACAATGTGTGCAAATAAACTGTAAATTCTAGTTATTCTGGGTTATTTTTTAACATTTATTTTTGTCTAGTTTATTTGTTAGAAATAAAATAATTTGCTCTCCATCTTATATGAAATGGAATGTAGGTAGGAGGATTATTTGTTTGAAATGGAATGTAGGACGGTGGTTTAAATTTTGCACTAGTTTTTAAGATGTAAAATTTGTAGTACTAGTGTGTGCAAATAAGACAAAAAGTACCAAGATTTGTATCAGGTAATGGTGCAAATCATAGTTACAAACAAATAGATGCAAAATCTATTTATATATATAAAGCAAAGTGGTCTACGTCATAGGGCCTCTCCTTGCTCCAAACCCCCCATAATGCTCTCTCATTAATCCTCTCTCTCCTCCCCCCTTCACCTACTCCCATTTTGCCAATTCAACACCCTTTCTCTCCATTCCTTAATTAACTCTATATTTTACCTATAATCTCTCTCTCTCTCCACCCCCCATCCCCCCGACTACTCACGTCTCTCACTCTCTTTGCTCACATAACTACTCTCCTTAATTAGCTCATCTCTCTCTCTCTCTCTCATATGATTCCATGCCATCACCCTATAATATTGTTCATCAATTAACGACCATTACATCTCCATATTAGGACAGTTTATCTCATTAGTGAGATACACATCCCATAGAGTAGAACCAGTTACGATTCCTTATAAAATTGGATAAAGTATTTTGGGAAGATTTTGAACAATTTTCCATTTCCATATTCCTCTTCCATTGTCAATCAAAATCTGAGTTGCATTAAAATCTTGAGTCAAAAACCTTGCACGGCCCCATTCTTGGATTGTGTAACACCACCAACGGTTAACATAATTAACACTAATTAATTTAATTAGCTTTATTTACACAATTAACAGTAAAATGGTTTAGTTAATTATCTTACTTAATTTTGTGAATTATTGATTTACTTAATTTCCATAATTATAAGTTTCCATAATAATTGTTTGCTTTACACTAATTAATTTACTGAATTTTTAACACTTAAAACCATTAATTTATTAGGTTGCTTAATTAATAAAATTACTTAGGGATGACAATTTTTCCCATCCTTTTCCAGGTACTTAACCTCTCCAACCCAATGGGGGTTAATAGGGCAGGGATGGGGATTAGTAGGGATCCTTAATCAGGGATGGGGACTAAAGTCCCTGCCTTGCCCCATTCCCAATTATATGTATTAAATATTATTTACATTATATATATAAATATACTTAAGATATTATTTATATTTTAAAATTTTCTTTATTTTAAGTAATATCTATTTTCTAAAAAATACTTTTAATTAACAATATTTTGGTGGTTTGGGTTCCCACAGGGAACCCATCTTCGTTAGGAATAGGGGATGGAAGGTAACTTTTATCTCTAGAAGTGGTCGAGGTCGGGATTTGTTTTAATATTAGGGTGAGGGATGGAGAATATGGTCCCTGCCCCAACGGCTGAACCTGCCTCGTTGCTATTCAATTATTTATCATAAACAGTAATTTACTTATTTTACTATTAACTAACAATTATTTAAATTTAATTATAGATTAATAATAATTTATTAACAATAATTATGGTTTAATTAACCTTAAATTAACAGTAGTTGTGCATTTATTATTTTAGTGTGAATTACTTTCCTTTGATCTTATTATTTGGTTTTCAAATTTTCCTATGCATTTGCATGAGGCCCTTCTAGTAGATCTATATGCAATTTTTTTTTTGATTAACATTTGCATGCAAACAAACGGAGCCTAAGATTAAAACTATAAAAATATACGTCACACTACAATTGTGGTGCTTTCTAAGGGCGTGTTTGATTTGGAATAAAAGGTTAGGAAAATTAGTATTTTTCTTTCAAACCAAACACACCTTATGAAGCATGCAAGTGATTTTTAGGCCCCATTCTTTTGGGATAAGTTTGGGGGTGAAAGTGTTAGTCAATGGAAAAGTTGATCAACTTTTTAATGTTTTTTTATTAGTGAAGTGTGGGACTCACGGAAATAAAACTTTGCTTAGATAAGTTGCCCAACTTACCTAATAAAGTTCTATCCACCTATGTGGGTAAATTAATTATCCATGGAGAGTAGAAATTGCCCAAATTGTGTAGGAAAATGACCAAAATAAAAAGTTAGGGGTCCTTTAGAAAATTCACTTACCCAATTAACATTTTTTGGCAAAACAATGTATATAAATATATTTACGGATAACACTTTCCCAAGGTAACACTTGTCTAGATAAATGCATTGATGGGCCTTGATGAAAATTAGAGTTGTGTAATAAAATGTACAAGGTAGTGTTATATAGTGTGTTTGAGACTACACCACACCATAAAAGAATAGGTGTTCTGTACTGTGGTCAAAATTTGGTAGCATGAATCACACCACATCTACATAGGCGTTTTGTAAGGTGTGGTGTGGTTTAGACAACAACTTTTATTTTGATTTTGTGCATCTTATATACACAATGTGAGGTGACCTATTTTGTCAATCAAGACTAATATTTTTTTGGCATTTTAAGAAAAATGCAAATCAATAATTTGAATTAATTTAACATGTAATAAAAAGTTAATAGTAATATAATTAAAAAATAAAAATATAAAAATATAAAAAATTGAAAAAAATAAAAATATAAAAAATTGAAAATAATAAAAATAAAAAATTAACATTGATAAAAGACATTAATAATAAAATTAATAAAATAATATTTAATTTTATTATTTAGTTAATAATAATTAGAGGTGTAAATCGGGTCGTGTTGGGCAGACATGACATGGCTTGGGCTATAGGGTTCGGGTCGTGTCGGGCTTGGCTATGGGCCAAGCCTAGGCTTGAGCCGAATCGGGCCAAATTAATTTTTTTGTTGGGTAAAACTAAAATACTTTACTTTCCTATGGGAACAAATTAAAAAAGTAGAAATTCTAACAAAGAAATGAAAAAATACTTAACAAAATACAAAATGGACAATCAATTGGAAAAATAAAAATTTTATTTCATTTAATTTTGAAACTTGAACAATACAATGGTAAAAAAATACTTAACAAAATGGAATAAAGTATACAAAAATATAATACAATTACAAATTGAAAATAAAAATTACATTGTTGAAAAAATAACAGATAATTTAAATAAAATTGAATAACAAAATTTACAATAATTTAAAAAAGTGCCACAAAACTATTGTGTGTACAAAAAAAATTGTCTTCATTTTCTTCAACTTCCACCTCCACCTCCATCTCCATTTTGATTTTGATTATTTGCTTCAGGTGAATCATAGGTGTAGTGTCATGCCCTCATTTGTCTTGCAATCTATCTATAGTATCTAGCCAATTCTTTGAAACAAATGCACACCTCTAGATTTTCATCATTCATGTAGCTTATCTTGTCATCTAGCATTATAATACCTGCACTAAAACAAGACTCTAATAGAATTGTAGACATTAGATGGGTTAGTAGATTACTTGCTATGGAGGCAAGGGCTATATATATATATGTTCACTCCACAAGGCTAAAATATCAAAAGTATTAAATCATTCCGAGTCGAAGGAATCACTTACAAATTTGCTTGTGAATAAAAATTTAGTAAATGAATTTGTTGATGAGGTGCTAGCAGATTTCTACCTCCTACTTATTAGAGACCAAACTCTATTTTTTCCACTACTGGAATTAGTTTCAAAAGTGGAATTTGCACTTGTACAAGTTGTAGATTTTTTATGCCCTACCAATTTGAGGTTCATATAAGTTATACATTTCAAATATTAAAATATTAATATTTTCTTTTTGATTTCCAATGTTAATATTCACATTTTTACAATATGATTCAAGTTATCTAAACCATCTTTCTTAATCATAGTATCTAATATTGTAGCTAAATAATAAAGAGGAGAAATGTTTTCCCAATATTTTTTAAATTTATTTTCCATTACTTCAACAATTCTTATAAATTGTGTTTTTTTTTTTATATTTTGAAAAAGTTCACTAATCATGAATAACTGATTAATTAAAAGACAACTAGTTGGATAATAAACACCCAGAAATTCATTAGTTGCATGACAAAAATTGTGTAAAAAATCTCTTATACAAATTGTCATTTCCCAATCTTCTTCATGTATAATATCATGTGGTATTTTTGCATTATAAAAATCAGTAAGAATTTGTTTGTAGGGAATACAAATTTCTAACATAAAATAGGTAGAATTTCATCTATGTTGAACCTCTAATAAAAAATGTTTATTTTTAACCATAATTATTACATAAATATTTAACAAAAGATGTGACATGCACATCTAATATGAAATAATTTTCCATTTAAACATGGTTTTAATTGAGATTTTAAAATATTTATTGTTGAATCATTATTACTAACATGATCAAAACTAATAGAAAAAAATTATTATCAATTCCATAAACATGTAAAGTATTTAAAATACTTGTAGCAATAGTTGAGCTAGTTTGTGGCCATTTAAGCCTAGTAAAACTTAAAATTCTTTTTTTTTTGTAAAAGCTAATTTTCATCAATAAAATGATTGATAACACAAATATAACTTATATTAAATTAGAGGTCCAAATACCAGAAGTAATTTGCAACTCTAGAATTGAGATTTGATAAAATAGAAATTAAATTTTGTTTATATGAATAAAAAATTTTCAAAACACCTGATCTAATAGTATTTTTAGAAACTTCTTTAAATTGAGGATTTATAGAATTACTCAAAAAATTTTCAAGTTTACTATCCTTAGCTAATAAAAATGGTTGTCCAGAATGTATAATATTATTTTGTGAACTTTTGCCTCATTTTTTCTTGTAAATATTTAAAAGTATCAAAACTTTCATGCCCAATTTGTGTTTGTGATTTTCCTTCTTCTTCTTCTTCTTCTTCTTCTTCTTCTTCTTCTTCTTCTTCTTTTTCATGGGTGAGCAAATGTTTGCCCAAGTGGCCATTATCACCCTTGCTGCAATAGCTAAAGTCACTCTGACATTTTTAACAAACAACCCTTTTTTCCTTCCTCTCAACCTCCTTTATTTTAAATAATTTCCAAAACAAACTAGTAAATTTAGTTCCTTTCTTTTTCCACGCTATTATGTTGTGATTGAACATTGTCGGCATTAAACATTGTGGGGAATTGATTTCGAGAGGAGGTAGTCATTTTTTTTAATTCTAAAAAAATAGAAATTAATTTAATTGCACACACCCGAATTGTCAATTCATAATCACAACTTGATTTTAATGGTTGAAGCCTCTAAGCCTCACAAATTGCTAACTTGAGATACTTGTACAAGCCTTTCTTATTGAAACTTGAAAGAAGTTGAGACTTGAGAATTAGAGAGTAGAGAGAGAGAGAGTATGAAAAGAGAATTGCCGAAATAATGTGATGAGAATGGTGGAGGATAGGGCTATTTATAGGAATTGAAATTAATTTAATTGCCCAAAATACCTTAAAAATTAGTCTTTTTTAGTTGTTGGGAGGGGTATTTTGGTCATTGTAAAGTCATTTATCAATTTATCCAAAATGCCCCCAAACTAGTTGTTATATAACTATTGGGGGGGCACTTTTGTTATTTTTCTCCATTCCAAAGAAAAAATACATAAATATCCCCCTATATAGTTGTTTATGGCTGCTGGGGGGTATTTCTATAAAAGACCCCCCAAAAAGTTGAAACTAGCCATTTGGGGGAGGGTCCTTAATGGGCCATCGGCTATGCCACGGCCACGGGTAGAATGACACGCATAGTTGTGCTGTGACGTGCCGGTCTGTGGACCTGAGACCCTTGGCCCAACACGACTCGCACGATCGAGCCATGCCTAGCATGACCCGCGTGCCATTGTGTTGGGCTAGTACAAAATCGTGTTGGGCCACGGGCGGCACGACCCGATTTACACCTCTAACGAAGACTACACCACAATATGATGGATTTCAAACCATGCCACACCACAACTGAACGACTGAATGGAGTGTGGTGGGGTTCGAAACCCACTATGTTGTGGGTTCACACATCCAAATGCCACCTTAGATCGTTAAGGTCAATATTCTCTAGTTGTGTCATAATCACTCATCAATTCAAAGCTTATAAACTCTAATTGCATTTTTTCACGGAAACTACAATCATGCTCTCCGTATTCAATGATACCATATTTTTTAGGGAAAATGACTGTTCAACACACCCTAAAAATTCTTAGCCCCACCGTATAGTTGGGGTAGGTGCTAACTCGGAATTGATACCAATACACGGGCAGGTATTGGTGTTTTAGGGTGGGGGTGTTTGTCATTTTGAATTGTGTAGGGTTGTAGTGGAATTCAGAATTCTGTAGTGTGATGCAATGTATTTTTCTATATTTTTTATGGGTATGACTCTTCATTTAAAACATAGTTCAAACCATGCCACACCATAACTGAACGACTGAATGGAGTGTGGTGGGGTTTGAAACCCACTATATTGTGGGTTCACACATCCAAACGCCACCTTAGATCATTAAGTTCAATATTCTCTAGTTGTGTCATCATCACTCATCAGTTCAAAGCTTATAAACTCTAATTGCATTTTTTCATGGAAACTACAATCATGCTCTCCGTATCCAATGATCATTATTATCTATGATACCACATTTTTTAGGGAGAATGATTGTTCAGCACACCCTAAAAGTTCTTAGCCCCATCGTATAATTGGGGCAGGTGCTATCGGAATTGATGCCAATACACGGACAGGTATTGGTGTTTTAGGGTGGGGATGTTTGTCATTTTGAATTGTGTAGGATTGTAGTGGAATTCAGAATTTTGCAATGTGGTGTAATGTATTTTTCTGTATTTTTTATGGGTATGCCTCTTCATTTAAAACATAGTTCATGCATACATCTACAACATAGTTGGGTACTGCAATGTGAATTTCTACAGTACAAGAATATCTTTGCTTCCCTTACTCCACATGACAAAATTAGAGGTATAAATCGGACCATGCTGCTCATGGTTCAATATGATAGCATGCGGGCCATTTTGGGTGGAGGGTTTAATAAAATAAATAGTTATTTTTAATTTTATTACACTATTTTATTTAATTATTGTATACATCAAAATTCATATAAAATAAACATTTTAAGATTTTTTTTCAATTTTTTAAATAAACCTTAGTTTTGAACCGAATCCATGGCCTGGCTTGGCCCAAGACTCAATCGACAGACCAGCCAGGCTCATGACATGACACAATATGACATGGGCCCACGTGGGTTGTGGCTGTGGGCCGTGCCAGGCCGATCCCCAAAATATCCCAAGGGAGGGAGGGATGGCCTGGGACGGCCTATACTTTACGTGGGCCCGCATGCTATGCTGGTCCAGCACGGCCCGTTTTAAAAATCAATAGCTATCAAACATCTGTCGTGCGAAGTTGAGTGAGCTTGCCATAATTGTCTGAAATAAAAACAGAAGACTCTTTGGCGTCCTTGAACTGCTCCAAGACCGGAACGGGATTCTAGTATTCTTGAACTTGTTTGTTCGTTGGGTATCTCTCCATGTTCTTGAATTCTCTGAAGATTGGTACAAATGCTTTCTTGATGCTATCTTGACATGGGTATCCAACATTAAAAGCAGCCGACGAGAGTCACGAGGCAACATTTTTGTTCACGCATTTTATCAAAGACAAGAGCAGCCATGTCTGATCTACTGCACTTCACATACATATCTGTAAGGCTATTGTTTATAATCAGGTCTAATCCAAATCCCATCTTCACCGCAGCTGCATGGGTTTGCAGGACAATAATGAAACTTTGAGTAGCGAGGGAGATTTGCGACTGTCTCCCACTCCAATCAAGCACCATGAGGATCGGAACTCTAATTATCAGAGAATTGGAGGATCAATTTGTACCCGTTTTGCGAAATTGCACCAACACGACCGACTTGAAGAAGATACACTCTCACATCCTTAAGTACTCTCTGTCGCAAAGCAACTTCTTGGTAACGAAGATGGTTCATATATGTAGTATTAATGGAGATACAGATTATGCAACTTTGCTCTTCCAGCAGATGATCGAGCCCAACGTTTTTCTGTACAATGCGATGATCAGAGCCTATACCCATAACCACTTGTATAGTGAAGCTATCTCAAATTACAAACAAATCATGAGAAACCCACAAGACAAAAAATTCATTTTTCCTGACAAATTTACATTCCCCTTCGTAATAAAAGCCTGCGCTGGACTCCTTCAACTGGATCTTGGTAAGCAGATTCATGGTCATGTTTGCAAATGTGGGCCACCTTTAAATTCTGTGGTCGACAATTCACTTGTGGATATGTACACGAAATGCGATGAGATGACTGATGCATATAAAGTCTTCGAGGGAATGACAGAGAAAGATGCAGTATCATGGAACACGATTGTTTCCGGACATGCCAGATTAGGAGAAATGAGTAAGGCGAGAGCGATCTTTGAAGCTATGCCGGATAAGACAGTTATTTCCTGGACTGCATTGATTTCAGGGTACACTCGAATTGGAAGCTACCCTGATGCATTGTATGCCTTTCGCCGGATGCAGGAAGTGGGTATTGAACCGGATGAGATTAGTGTTGTTTCTGTTTTGCCAGCCTGCGCACAGTTAGGTGCTCTGGAATTGGGGAAGTGGATACACTTTTATTCCGACAAAAATGGGCTCCTGCAGAAGACTTTTGTATGTAATGCCCTGATTGAAATGTATGCAAAATGTGGGAGCATCGGTCAAGCTTGGAAACTGTTTGCTCAAATGCCTGATAGAGATGTTATCTCTTGGAGTACAATGATCGGAGGTCTAGCAAATCATGGTAAGGTTCGAGAAGCGATTGAGTTGTTCGAGGAAATGAGGAAATCTCCAGTGGAGCCTAACAGCATTACCTTTCTAGGGCTTCTATCAGCTTGTTCTCATGCTGGTTTCCTAGCTGAGGGATTACAGTATTTGGATTCTATGAAAAAGGATTATGGTATCGATCCAAGTGTTGAACATTATGGATGTGTGGTGGATCTTCTTGGGCGTTCTGGTTACCTTGATCAGGCTGTTGAATTAATAAATAATATGCCTGTTCAACTGGATTCAACCATTTGGGGATCATTGCTCAGTGCCTGTAGAACTCACGGCAATCTTGAGATTGCCATTATTGCAATGAAGCACCTGATTGAGCTCGAACCACATGACACCGGGAACTATGTCCTACTTTCAAATATTTATGCAAGGCTGGGGAGGTGGGATGATGTATCAAGGATGCGCAAGGAAATAAGAAGCAAGAATATGAAGAAAACTCCAGGATGCAGCTTGATTGAAGTCAACAATGTGGTTCAAGAATTCGTTGCTGGAGATGATTCAAAACCTTTTTCAGATGAAATTTATTCGATGCTAGAGCTGCTGGCCGTGCATCATAACAGCAACAGCAGCAGCACCATGATTGAGGATATTGCAATTAACTTAGAGTAACAATCAATCTTGACTTCCAACAATATCTCAAACTTATTTCACGTTAATGGGTGAGCTGGCCTCTTTTAAGGAGGATTGGAACCTGCAAATTGCTCTTTTCATCCCTATTTATATTGTACAGATTAGTCAAGAATAGTGCAGATTAGGTGATTTGCATCCATGTACAAGACAGAAAGACAACCCTCCAATAAAAAAAGAAGGTATAGAGCTGTCACTATATACAAGAAAGCCCCCTTTCTGTTCTCTTTTTATCTTCTCAAGAAATTATGCCAAAAGAATTCATCAAAGGACAAGCGATTCACTACAAAAAAGCATAAATTCATTATCTATTTGGGGGTAAATGTAAGATAACAGAAGCTTGTGAAATTGATAAAGCTGAAATGCTAAACCTGGATTTATACAGAGTAGTCTTCAACAAATGTCAACACAGTCGGGATGCAGACCAGGAAGGATAAGCTGACAAAATGGCAGAGATGTACACTTCTTGATGTTCTGTAGGAGCTGAAATCAACAAATAATGAGGATCAGTTTTAGTTGCCTTACTGGTGTTTGTAAAAGTAAGGAACTACCTGTACATTGCTCCTTCCATAGAAAGGTGGATATCCATTCAGAAGCTCAAAAAGAACTGCACCTAAGCTCCACATATCAACCTGTGTAGGAATTTTTGTTTCAGTGGCCTATTATAATTTGAATGATAGAAATCTTAGCTTTCTTACCTTTGGATCATATCTTTGGAATTGCAAAACTTCAGGAGCCATGTACGATGGGGTCCCACAAACTGTCTCTGCGTAGTCACCTGGTTGTACAATTCTGTTCCCACAATAAAAGATAATTACATATTACTTTGGGGGGAAAAAGCTGGAGAATGCCCTAATGAAACTTTAGGGATCGGAATTCTGCTCTGCCGCAATACCTTGAGAGACTGAAATCCGCAATTTTTAGCTCTGCATCACTGTCTGGGCTTGATAGCAGAATATTCTGTTCCATAGGAAGAATTTGTTTTAGCCAATCTGCAGGATATTTGATCTCTAAAGAATGGATGGAGAAAATGAGTTGAAAACACTGAGACAAAAAATGCTTCGGAAATGAAAAATAGTCCTTGAGGATACAGGTCACTGGATTAATTTATGTTTGCAATGGCGCATCTAAGGGGTGGATCCACTGGGTTAATAGTCCAGATTGATGAGTTTGTGATCTTAAAAAAGCTGTGCATGGGTGTATGCATGAGTGTTTCCAAGTGTTTGGGAGGGGGGAGGGGTATCCCTACCTCTGGTTTCAGGTCTCGATGAATGATGTGGTGGGCATGTAGTACTGCTAAAGCTGCTCCTGTGGCAAGGCCAATGAAATTTATTGGATGACTTAAAAGTTCAAATAGAGAACAATTGCAGAAATAAGTAAACCCAGTGTTACTAAGTCTGTTAGGACATTATACCAAGCTGCTGTGTGAATCTTCTGGCAACCGGTTCTTGAACTCTGCCATGGTGCTGGATGTAAGAAGCTAAATTTCCCCCGGAACAGAATTCCAATACCAGGAATATGTACCCTTCAGCCTGAGAGAAAAATCAAACTCAGTGAACTTTAAGTGTGTTAATTGAGGAAAGGGTTAAAATGGTTGTAGCCTGGTTCATCTAAATGTTAAACAGGGAAGGTTGCTTAACAGCGACATAAGAATTCAGATCGGCTTGGTTCCATGTGTCTGTGTTTTATAAGCTTCAAGTGGCTCAGTTGTAAATGGCTGTATTCTTGTGTTCCATGGAACACTTTTTGTACTTAGGAAATCTGGTCAGATTTATGATTGCCCAATGCCAAATTCTTTACAGAGACCGACTCTTGTAGTAGTTTATAAGTTGCTCACTTTTCGGTTAAAGCATCTATCCAACTTCTGCTTATGCACTTAAAGTTGGTGTCTATAGAGATGATACTTCAGTAACCTCATTAGTCCAGGGTACCTAACTATAATTAAATTGCGGAAGGTAAGAACTTTAGTTTTAGATATGATCTTTGTTTTGTCAAACTATGCCATCCATACTAACCTCTTCACAATTTTATCAAATTTGTTTCTGTTCTATACGTACCCTCTCTCGAACATACCAAATGCTGCAACTGGAACAGCTTTGCTTTTGCAGCTTGACAGCTTCATAGAAGTGTCTATACCTACTTACATCTACTAGTAAATGTATACACGTGTTGCACGTGGTAATTTCAAATAATAATAATCCAAGCATGATGTATTGGTGGATTTGTTGCCTTTCAGCATAATGACTTGGCTTCAAATCTTCTTAGTTGTAGTTTATATATAACTGAGTTTTTTAACTTGTAATTGAATTAGACAGTCAAATTAATTGAACTATCACTGGACAAATTTGTAAGTATGTTTTAACCCAAGCTATTGACTTGGAGATGACCTTATTGGTTAAACTACTGACCTATTTGATGAGGTCAATGGAATATGAGCAAGATATTAATTCTCATTTTCTTTTATTTTTATATTTTTAGTTATTTTAATCATTAGTAATAATAATTCTCATTTTCACTCATATTTTTGTAAAATATGATGAATATATTATTGTAAAAGCATGCTCAATGTTTTTATAAATTTTATAAAATTTGTTATATTTTTATTTTTGCTATTTAATTTATAAAATCACAATAAATTGGCTTGTTAGATTAGAAAGGAAATCATGTTCCAATTGATTTTTAGAACATTAGTTTTTAATTTGTATTTTGGCATTGTATTTCCATTTTATCATTATTGTTGTTGTTATTATAACGATAGTAATTTTTTTATCATTGTTTTCCTCGCACTTCTGTGTTGTCAGACTTAGACCAGTCCATACGGTTGAATTGATACCTTTTCTGAATCCAAATTATTTTATATTCTTTACCCATGTGTCGCGGTTTGACATAGGCTTAGCCTTATCTACGCTTGGTAGGCTTACGTTGAGTGGAAATATTATAAATGTGCAGTATGATTATTCGAAAAAAGTGATGTTTCCTATTGGTAGACCTCCAAAAGCTTAATGTACTCTTTGAGGAGGGGTGCTCGACCTCCTTGGGTGCCTGGCCTTGGCACTCCATAAACCAATATCCCTTGCAGGGCGACCTTGGTTAATGGCTAGCTTGGCTACCAGGGTTCCTCATGGACAAACACACATGCATGGGGATAGTGCATGGACCAACATTGTGCAATGCACATGAAGGGGAGACTTTCCATGTGTCTAGCCCAAGTATGTCCCTACACCTTGCCAGCCCCATGTCTAAACTAATTGAACTAATTCGTTGCCCATAATGCACGGGTGTGTTCTCAGGCCCAACGGTTGTCTCACATCCTCGGCACAACAAGTGCCTCACAACATCGGTATAGCATGTGCCTCACATCATGGAATTCCCCTTTTGGCACATAAGAGGTTTCTCATATGTACTGGCAAGAGCCATAGAGAGCCCTAGCAATGCATCCTGAGGTCATGATCCAATGCCATTGACCTTGGTGGAGCCATCATCAGGCCGACACATGGCCCTTACACACATATTAGGCTTGTTTTGGCCCCACATGGCCTAGACGCTGCATGGGTTTCTTCCATTGCAAATCTAACATTGTGACACATGGGCAAGATACATAAAGAGAGAAAAAAAAGAAATTGTATCTTCTATTTGAACTTTGATATTAAATTTTAAGTTTTTGGAGGCAATATTTTTTTTTTGGGTACTAAATTCTCAAGCATATTTGTCAACACTAAGCACATCTCACATGTCTTCCCTTCACTCATTTAATAGTTTATAATTTCCTATTAAACTTTTAAAAGTAAAAATCATCAATTCTCAAAAGGTTCATTCAATTATGGATGTGTATGGTGGAACTCTCTTAGATTATTGGAGCCTACTTTCATTGCGCATACCAGGGATGTCAATGGATTGGGTTAAGAGGTAAACCCACATTGACCCAACCATATCATATCAAGGTTTGGGGTTGGGTTTAGATCAAACTTGCACTGACTTTGACCTATTGACATCTCTATTCATGTTTGCAAAGCTAAGCACATTCCAACATTGGAGTGAATGCTACCAATTCATATAAACAAATAAACAATGAAATGGATTATTGTTAATACAAAAAATGGGTCATTAGAGCCATTAGTTAAAAATGTTATAACCATGCACGCAATCTCCCAATTTGACCAAATAGCTTTTTATCTTTTTGGCCTCTTTGTAAGATAAAAGACCAGTCAAATCTAAATTAAAATTTTGGTAATTGGACATTAATGGACATTGATCAAATACTAGCATTGTTGATTCAATAAAAAAACATTATTTGTTAAACTTGGGCCTAACAACAATTCAGGACAATCGTACATGAAATAGTAAGACACGTGCAAGATGGTTCAAAATATTGATACGATATATCCCATGTCCCGTATCTAGCATATTGTATCATATTGACAGGGTTCTAATACACTTGTTTAAAGGTGTTTTGAGGAACCCATTTATTTTATTTATTAAATAATATGAAAATATTTATAAAAAATGAAATTTTGAAAAAAAAAACAAAAAAAACAAAAAAACGCTTGGTTTAAAGCATTGATACACCTCTGCTGATACACAGGTGTATTGATACTTTGAACCATGGTGTAACACTTGACCAACAACTTGGGCTAGGATAACCTGAACCCAGTCTAAAAAAATTTGGGTTGGGTTGGGTTGAAGTTAGGGTTAGGGTTGAAAAGTATGATCCTGACTTAACTTTGGGTTAAGTTAGGGTTGAGGCCTTGAGCAATATGGTTCAACACAAACCTGACTTGATATATATACACATACATATGTGTGTGTGCATGTATGTATATGTATTTACCATTCATGCAAGTATGTATATGCAACCATGCATCAATAAATGTATATATCTATATCATAGTTAGTTGTAGGCGCCTAGGCGCCTAGGTGATTTCCTAAGGTTGCCTTGCCTAGACGATTGATCTTTTTTACATTAGACACCCACCCAGAATATTAGGGGGTTACTTAGGCTACTAGGCGGGCACCTAGTGTTATTAGTCCATCAATCTTTATATTTTTGTGAAATATTATTAGCTGTTTTATATTTATAACATAGGACCTATTATACATTAACAGTTTTTATTTGTCTTCTAAAACACTAAAAATGGTTTTGTTTCTTGCAGGGGCATTCCCATTCCACCAAACCCACTTTGTAAAGGAAGGAGAGGACGAACAAGAACATGAACTCCACCAGATGGCTTCAGCTCGAGGTATGTGTAGTGTAGTTAGTTTTTATTTTTCTTTCTTTCTTTCTTTCTTCTTCTTCTAATCTGAACTAAATAAACAGGGGCTAATTTTTTTTTTTTTTTCAGTTTTAAGTTACAAAACAGGGGCTCTGCCCCCCCATTTTCTTGCTTAGTTTTGAGTGAAGAAACAAGGGCTTTGCCCAACTATTTTTTTGTTCATTTTATGAGGGTGACCATGTGAAATCAATTTATTTTCTATCAGTTTTATGTGAAAAAAATAGGGGCTCCACCACTTTTTTCGCCCCTACTTGTTCTTCACCTGATTTGTAAAAAAATATATAAAAATCAGGGGTTGTTCCATTAGAAAATATCAATTAGTGGAAAGTGGATGTGAATCAAATTTTGTTCATGACTTCGTGTATGATCTATGATGTATCATTTATCATTAGTAAATCAGATTTTGTTCCCTTTTATGTTCATTATCTGTTTATTTGTGTTTGTTAATTAAGTTAATTTGTTGTTTCAATTGACTTATTGCCCATTGGTATTTGGTTTTATTTTTATTAGATAATGGCAAATGGGGAGGGAAATCAAAACACTTCTAGCACTAAGAATAATGCTCAATCAAAAGATCCAATATGGAAATATGCATATTAGCACGATTTAGAGGACAAAAATGCTATCACATGTTCCTTGTGCGAAAAGATTGTCAAAAGAGAGGAATTAAGAGAATAAAACAACATTTAATTGAAAGATTTGGAGGTGTTACCAAGTCACCAAAAACTACAACAAGTATTGCAAAGGAATTGCAAGAATACATGTGTAAAAATAAGACGAAGAAATCGTTAGATAATTTCATAGTGGAGGATAATTGTGGGCCATAGGAGCAAATGGTTTATGAGAGAGAATCTCACCATGAAAGTAACTAACCTATGGAAGTAGGTAGCTCCATTTCAACTGATAGGAATGCTCAACCATTAAACCCCATGTTTTCACAAAGAAAGAAGGAAAATGTTAGAGGACCTATGGATGCTTTTGTGAGTCTAAGTTCAGAAGAAGTGGTAGAGGCAATGCACAAGGGATACTCGGTGCAAACAAGCATAGAAAGTTGGTTGAAAAAGGAAAAAAGAAAAAAAAGGTGAATGAATATGTTGCAGAATGGTTTTATCAAGCTAGAATACTCTTCAACACAGTAAAGTTGAAGGGTTTTGAGATTATGGTAGAAGCAATTACACAATTTGAGTCTGGGTACAAACTTCCAAGTTACCATGAATTGAGAGAATCATTCTTGAAAAGGGAGGTTAAGAAAACAAAATTGCTTTACAAGGAGTATGGGGCCTCTTGGAAAACTTATGATTGCACTATTATGTTTGATGGATGAACAAATAAGAGGAAAAGAAGTTTGATAAACTTTTTGGTGAATTTTCCTGAAGGTACTTTCTTCTTGAAATCAATTGATGCCTTCAATGAAATCCAAACTTATTTGTATGAATTAATTTATAAGGTTGTTGAGGGAATAGGAGAAGAATATGTGGTGCAAGTAGTTATTGATAACCACTCTGCTTATATTGTTGCAGGAGACCTTTTGAAGATAAAGAGAAAGAACTTATTTTGGACACCTTGTATTATTCACTATTTGGACCTCATGTTGGAGGATTGAAGTCTACTAAGAGTTGCATTTACAAGGTAAGACAGGTGACATCTTTTATCCACAGACATCCTCTTTTCCTTGCTTATATGAGGGAGAAAACACATGGAAGGAGTCTTGTTAGATGTGCTATTATAAGGTTTGCCACATCATTTCTTACTTTGCAAAGCTTTTTCACTTTCAAAGAGCCATTGCATTCTTATTTGTTAGTTATGTGTGGAATAAAAGTAAATGGGTAAACAAACCAGAGGGTTTAAGAGTCTCAAGTACTATTCTTTCTGTTATATTTTAGAAAAATATAAGGATTGCCCTTTTAGCTTCCCAACCACTTGTGAAAGTCTTACAGTTGGTTGATGGTGATGAAAAATTTATAATGGTGTACTTCTACTTTGCAATGAAACGAGCAAGAGAAAAGATAAAAGCAAATTTTGGTAGGATAGATAGAGAATATAAGCCCAATTTGAAAATTTTTGACAAGCATTGGAATAATATGATGCGGCATCCTTTGCACCTTGTCAGTTTCTTCCTCAATCTAGTCCTTTTTTATAAAGTTAAAGCTGAAGATAAAACATTAGTTGGAAGTTTGAGATGAGCTTTATAGATTGTATTGAGATGATGGTAACATTGAAATTCAAGATAAGATCTCCCATCAAATGGAAGAATATAAGCATATTCGTGGTGAATTTGTAAGGAAATGGCAATTAGACAACATGAAACAAAAAAACCATGTAATATCTACATTTAGAATCTTATGGTTAACTCATTATTTTTTTTATATTGTTATCTTTGAATTTGTATTCTCTAATTTAATTTTTTCTCTATTTGTCATTTGTACTTTGTAGTTGATTGGTGGCATACTTATGAATATTTCACACCAAACCTTAGGCGTATTGCATTATGCATATTAGGTTTTACGTGCACATCTTCTACTTATGAGTATAACTGGAGTACCTTTGAGATTGTAAGTAACTTTATTATTAATTGATTTATAATTATAAAAGTTAACATATTTTATTTTTGTTTGTTATGAATGTAGATTCATACCAAATAAAAAGAGGCTTAATGATCTTGTCTTTGTTTAATATAATCAAAGTCTTTGTGAGAAGTTCTTGACAAGACGTGCAATCCCATGACATTTGATCCCATTTGCTTCGATGATGTTGATGAAAATAGTGAATGGTTGACTAGAAGAGAGCCATCAAATGAGTTAGTTCATAAAAGTGGTGATCTCACATGGAATGAAGTGGATGAAACATTAGGAGCAACTGAAGCCATTGAGGGATCAAATAGGCCAAGGAGAAGTGCATATATAATTTATACATATGCAAGCAGAAGCGGAGGTAGAAGTGGTCGTGGGAGAAGTGATGGTAGGAGGAAGCCACTGAGGGATGATTTCACATGGAAGGAAGTGGATGAAGCATTAGGAGCAACTAAAGCCATTAAGGGATCAAATAGGTTGAGGAGAAGAGAATATACAGTTTATACAGATGCAAGTAGAAGCGGAGGTAGAGGTGGTCGTGCAAGAAGCGATGGTAGGGGACAAGACAAAGGAAAAAATGTTGTGCAAGAAGAAGAAGATGAAGAATCAATGTGGGATAGGAACATTGAGGATAATGAAGATGAAGTCGTAGAACTTGATGGGGAAGATGATGAAGATGATAAGGATGAGTTTGATGTTTGTGCTATTGATCATGATTTTGGTGGATTTAGTGGAGGGGTTGTGGGTTCTATCTTGTTACCTAGATACTCAAATTAGTTAGATACTTTTCTTTATTGATCATCTATAAACTTTATGTTTCGTTATCATTTTGTGGAGAATTGGATAAGTGCCATATTTTTTTTTGTTATTGTTTTATTCATTGCTTGATTTGGTTCCTACTTCCTATTTACTTCCTTTTAAATTCCTAGAATAGATAAATTTCAGTTAAGGTATGTGTTTGATTTGATTCCTACATAATTCCTTTTATTCTTTGTTCATTTGTTGTAAATTTGCAATGCTTTTTGTTTAATTTATTATTGATTTTTTTTGGTATTAAAGGCAAAGTGAGAAAAGAGAGAGCACTCAACAAGAACAATACTCAACTTTCACCTCAAATTCAAAGGTATGTCTTTATGAATTAAAAAAATATTTTTAGTATTTATTAGTTTAGTTGTTTAGTGTAGTTGGTTTGGACTCCTTTTTATTGAAAATAATATATTTAAATGTTGAACATGAAGTCATGAATACATGCTAAATTAATAATATTTTATGTTTTTAGCTTTTAATATGAGATTTATACTTGTTTGAATGATAGTTAGTGAACATGCATTCTAGTTAGCACACAAAACCAATAAAATAGCTTAGAAAAACATAGGAAAAGTAAAAACTCAATAAAACTAACATTTTAAAATTCCTCGCCTAGGTGACACCTGGGCGCCTTGTGGTCGCCTAGGCTAGGCGCCTTGACAACTGTATTTTTTCACTACAAGTATTTATGTATGTGCATATTTATTTATCTATTTATCAATTTATACGTGTATGCACATATATTTTATGTCAAAAATTTTTATTTGATGGACAATTTTTTCTAGTACATGATAATTATGTTCTTTTACACATAATGATGTTAATATTAAATTAGCATGAACCCTTACGATGTGTTTGGTTTGAAGGATATATATCTCCCTACTTTTTCCTTCCTTTCCCTACCTTTTCCTTCAAACCAAACATAGCCTTAAAGTCTAGGAAATAATTGCATTTGAAAAAAAAAAAAGTAAAAAAGTTAGGCTAACCCGAGACTAATCCCAATCTAACCTGAGCCGATCTGAACCCAACCCAAAGTTTTGGTGTTGTATTAAGGTTAGAGTTGGGGATACAACAACTTGGATTGGGTCAGTTAAAGTTGATCACCCCAATCCAACCTAACCCGGACGGACTTGCACCCCAATAAATATACTTTGGGCACTATCAGTTACCAACTTACCATTCAATTTGAGCATTTAGATTTTTTAATTCTTTAAAAAGGTTTTATCAGAACTTTGTATAATACTTAAGTTGTCCTCATTTTCACTTCAAAAAATGTCAACTTTCAACTTTAAGGAATATTTTTATCCAAATAACTCAGTTACCAACTTACCATTCAATACAGGTTGAATAATGGCACTTGCTGTCATTTAATTTCAATATTTAAAGAGATTTGTATCAAATATGTGTGGTTTTCAAATAAAAAGGGCAATTTTTTATCACCAACAAAATTCTAGAAATGCTATGAATACATACTTGCATGTTACAGTAATATAGATATAGATTTGTTTCATGAAAGGAAAAATTTACCAACAACTAATGCATGTGCCTATTTAAAACCTACAATATTTCCAATCAAGGATGTTTAGTTAATTTCACTCATTGAATAATACACAGAACAGATATAATTCTAAACCATATTGAAAAATTCTACCTTTTCACTCATTGAATATACTCTAAAGGGGGTTCTTTATCTAAATTCGAGTTCAGACCTTAGAGCGTAAAAGATACGAAACAATATTATTTAGATGTTCAAACCTCAAAGAGAAAAGGAGAACGCTAAACCAAATTGGGTAACAACCAAAGTAACCACTGATGAGCTGAGAGCGGATACCCAGGACACTTAAATTTCCTACAAAATTTCAAGAAGCACAGCCGTGTAGTAGCAACCAAACTGGGTAACAACCAAACGATCGAACTCTTAACTGAAACATACGGAAAGGGCATCCGCGTGTAGTAGCTCAAATTAAGAAGACTCAGATTATTTTGATACCTGGATTATTTCGATAAGTCGAATAATGTTGGGGTGTTTGACAGTGGACAGGAAGTTGAGCTCGCAATTCAGGCAGTCCTTAAGGTTTCTGTTGAGTTTGGAGAGGTAGACCTGCTTCAGCGCTACTTCTTCGCCGGTGAATCGGTGCTGGGCTTTCCAAACGATGGACAGAGGCCCTTCTCCAATTCTGCCTCTCACAATATAATCTTCAACTGCCACGATTTCAGACAGGTTTGCTGAAATTTCATCCTCCATTCTTCATTCTTCAGCTTCACAACATAGCACCGCTGGGTATGTTCTGTTGGTAGGTCCCCACTCCCCACTCCCCACTCCTCTTCAGTGGGTCCACGTGATGTCTACAGTTCTAGACTTCTAGTTCTTTCTCGTGGATACTGTTTGGGTGATGATAGGGACACCGGGGTCTAGAATATTGTCACGGTCGACCCAACGATCCATATGGGTTTAGAGGTCGGAGGGTCCGAGTGTGTAAGATGTTGGACCCAACGATCCACATGGTTCAAAGTATTACTTAGATACACACGGAAATCATTATTTTTAGTTTTTTTTTTCAAAATTTGATTTTTGGGGAATTAAAAAAGGGTGGGGTTTCGGGGCCCAAAAGATATAATATGATACGTCCGATATGGAGCATATCGTATCGATTTTTTGAACCTTGCCAATATAATCCAAACCGACCATCGGCATGGGTTGAGGATCTGAGCCCTGAGGTAATCTTCGTTGCCTTGGCTTGGGCTTTTTTCCCTCCTTTTTGATGGGCACCCGTTGGAGATCAAGGATGGCTTACCCAACTTCGACTGTTCCCGTGTAATGGACTAACCTTTCAATTTGCCATGTTGCACAGAATTAGACCAGGCAATTGGGTCGGGTCAGGTCAAGGTAATTTCTGGTCTTTTCAGGTCGGATCAGCTAAAAAAAAAACTAGGACCCGTGTGATAGAAGGGATTTATTAATAAGTAGAAGATGGAGTTATATGACATTTCCAATTAAATGGTAAGTTCAATTCAAGTATTGTTTTTTGGGGTTATGTCTAGTTTATCCAATTACAATTATAGTTGTGCTTAGTAAGAGTGGCCAATTTCCTATTCTCTAAATAAACTTGTATTATTTTTTGTATTATTTTAGGTAAAATTATAAATAACTCCTCTTATAACAATTCTATAAACCACTTTTGTGTTTTGACCCTAATAAAGGCTTCTCCTATGGTTTTGAGGAAAAAAAGTGCTATATTCTTTCCCTTCGCTTTTTGGTAATGAAGAAATTGAAGTTACCAAAGTACCATTATCATTGTTAATGCATTATCATACATAATTTAAAGTTTCAGCTTTACCCTTCACTGATTTATTTTGCCAAACAACTATTTCAAGGAATAATTCTCCTTACTTTTCTTGGACAAAGTAAGATAAAAAGGTTGAAGTGAAGTAAAATTAATGCATTACATCAACATTGTTTACTTGGAATGTTGGCGAAAGGAAGGTATTTGCACTTTTTTTTCAAAACATGGGAGGTTTTTGTTAAGGTCAAAACACCAGGGAGTTTCATAGGATTGTTAGAAAACTCAACGTGGTTTTTATAATTCTCCTTAATTTTAAATGAAATTTAAATTGATTTTAAAATAATTAAACTATATTTAAAATTAATTTTTAAGTTAGTAAAAATTAAATTTATTTAAGTATATTAAGTTTGTATTAAATTTAAATTCCTCATGAAATTTAATTACTATATAAATATTTATTTTTAGTGTAACTTAAGTTGGTTTTAAATTAATAAAATGTAATTATAAAACTAATAATTGTTTGATAATTTTGTATTAATTTTATATTAATTTTAAATTGTCATTAGTTTTTAATTTATCTCATCATTTTATTAATTAAATTCTTTTTATTATATTAGTAAAAATATTTTTATCGATAACAATAATTATACTGAATTATTTTTATTTTGGTTAATTAATTTTTATTATTTTTCAAATGGAATATAAATGGATTATAATTTTAAATGGAAGTAGATTATTTAGCACAATAATATAACATTGAATATCTCAATTTCAATAGAATTAATCTTTATTAATAATTATAGTTTAATGCAAATATATCTAATATATATAAAATTAAAGTTAAATTGAAATGGATATATATATATATAATTATAGTTAAATATATCTAATGTATTTTATGCAATTTAATCGAGTAATGGAGATGAGAGATAATTAGTGGCATGAGTTATTGGAGAGAGTTCGTGGCTTAATTATGAGGAGAGATTATTAAAAGAGTTAATGGAAAAGAGGAGAGAGAGAGAGAGAGAGAGAGAGAGAGAGAGAGAGAGAGTTAATGGTGTGTTAGTGATGAGTGTTAAAAGTCTTAAAGGTGATTGATCACTTGAGTTATTTTGTTCCATTTTCGAATTAGAAAATTCAAAAAAAAAAAGAAAAAGATAACTCCCTTTGAGAAGAAATAAATGATGAATAAACCACAAAAAAGGAAAGTGTTAGCTTGACAAATTCCATTTTAATACATAGATATAGATTACCCTACAATTTATCAGACTTTCCTCAAGTGATGTTACCCATCCTGGCACAGTCTTTTTTTTTCTTTCTTTTATATTAGATAGTACATATCATGTTTTAAAAAACCGGACCAGAAATGAAACCGTTTTGTCCACAGATTTCCGGGTCAAATTGTCTGGCCATCCGATCCAAAGCTCGGATGGACGGTTTTGGGGTCCAAAACTAGACCTAGAGTCATGACCGGTTTACCCAGGTCAATCAGTCCGACCGTCTGGTCTGATCCGGTTATGTTGAAGGACTCATGGTTGGGGATGGAGCAGGATGCACTTGAGACTCACTAGCCAAACAAAGAGCTTGTAGTTCTGCAGGTGATCCGTTTGGAAGTATACCAAATGACCATTTCAACTAACGGGTCAATATTGGCAGCGATTCCCGGTCCAATCTTTCAACCTTTCAATTCAGAACATATAAGAATGGCTTTTGGGCTGAAACAATTGGGCCAGAATAGGGCTCTTGGTGAAGAGAACACTTTAGACCCAGACTAGGGCTCTTGGTGCAATAGTTCGGACTTCCTGCTAACCTCTTCCTCCTCTCCTCTCCACTAACCCACTCAAATCAGGCCACCTGTCCCTATCTGTCCAACCTCCCAACAAATGTCCAAAAAACGTTAACTAAATTATTTTTTAGTTCCCTAATTATTACAATTGCATAAAAGCTTTAATGCATGCTAATTATTACAAAAACAAACTAGCGAAGGGACAAAAGTATATCTGGAATGGAACCGTTGACCTGTTGACCCATTGACCTAGTTCCTGGCAAAAAACCATTGAATCGGTCAATAATCCATTGACCCGAGCGGTTGAATTGTCAATTTGTTGGCCTGTTCAATGGTTTTTGGTCGTTTTTTCTAATTAGAAACCATCCAAACAACCAGTTCTATTTTATCCTAATCTCGGTCTTATATATATAAAATTGCCAGCTCCAATATCTCATCCCTGTCAAACACTACCAATCCGCGAAATGCATCAGTTGTTAATTTTAAGACTAGAATTATATAGAAAATATACTGAAGTTTAGGTCTGTATTCAATTAATCCACTTCTGCCACCCCAATAGCTCGGATCAATATTGAGCAATGACTCTTCAGCATCCTAAAATGCATCTCGAGGATGCGATAATGTGGCACATAATCTTGTACCCACCCAAATTTGGGCTCGGGCTTTTGGGCTTCCTGTAGTTGAGTTTCCATTGATTTGGGCTCGGGCTTTTGGGATGGATGCCTATTCAAATTTTGACAAGTAGTCTAACCTGAGGTCCTGAACCCACCCAAATTGTATCCTTATTCTCCATCATCTGATCTTTGTAACTTTGATGATGAATAGAACCTTGGCGCAACCCGGAAATAAAAACTTTTTGATGATATGGTGGGTTCAAAGCATGGTTTAAAAAAATGATTGGGAAACGGAATTGTTCTGGCCACCGGTTTTCGGGTTGATGGTTCAACCATCTGGTTTTAATAGATGGCCCATTCTGACAATAAAAATAAATAAAAAAATAAAAAAGCCGCCAAAAACCGTTGAATGAGTCAACGAGTCGACGGTTCGACCACCTGGGTCAACGGGTCATTGATCGATTCAACGGTTTTTGGTCAAGGACTAGATTTGGGGTAAAACGGAACCGATTACCTGGACGGTTCCCGGGCCAAACAGTTTGATTATCTTGGTCAACGATGGTTCGAAAACCATGGTTCAAAGTATTTATACCCAGAACACAAATTTTGTGTTTCATGCATTTTCAGTGCACAATATATCAAGTTTTTTCATATTTTTCTCTTTATAATGTGTCAAAATTAGGTAAGATAGGATAAAAACTAATGATTAAACATTTAATTTACTTGGGAAAAAAATCCATTTGAATAGCCTAATGAAAGGTTTAGAAATTGATAGAACCAGATACATTTTGATAATTTGAGCCATGATTTTAAAAAACTGAACCGGAAATGAAACCGCTTTGACCACCGGTTCCCCTATAGAAAAACGGATAAAGGCGGCGGTTTAGAGCCGGCAGTCTTTTTGACCGCCGCTATAGACAAATCTAAGGCACCTACATTCGTTTTAAAAACTGGCGCGGCGGTTATTAGTTTACAATCGGCAGATTTTTTTATAATCTGGAATTAAACCGATTTAACCTTGGACTAATATGGAGAAACACAGGGAGGGAAAAATTTCTTTCTCCCCCGCACGAATTTCCCCTTCCTCTTCGACCAAAAAAAAAAGAATTCCCATTCTTCACGAGCAAGACATAAGTTCTCGGTCCATAGAGAACCTTACGCGATTTTCTGGTCATTCGTTCGAGCAAGAGAAGAAAAGAGAAGAGAAAGTAATGTTCATTCGAGCAAGAGAAGAGGCGACTTCTGTTAGTCCGAGTTAGGGTTTCCCTTTGTGCTTGAGAACGGGGAAATTTCTGGACACTATCTGATGATGCGCATTTTGGAAGCTCCCGGCTGGCAGGTGACTAGGAACCATTCAGCTAGGCATCGAAGCCACATTCCAGGTAGGGACTATTCAGCTAGGCATCCGAGTCACATGCCAGCCGGGAGCTGCCGAAATGCGCATCATCAGATAGCGTCCAAAAATTTCCCCGTTCTCAAGCACAGGTGGCTTGGACACCTAGCTGAATGGTGACGAGATGGAGAGGTGGCTCTGACGCCTAACTGAATGGTGACGAGTTGG